TAAATAAAGTTTCCTTTAACAATTACGGTGTTTAAATGGAGCGGTAAAATATTGTCAATGTTCTATACCTAGTTGACCTTAGCCTATGAAATTCCACACTGGTCCTTCAGAGGAAATAACTATAAATCCAAATTTCCTGTTAGCGCAAGCAAATGCCTTCCAGTCTTTAAAAGTAGCTTTCGCCAACGCAGACTCCACAATGTTTTACAATCTGCAAGTCCTTCACTCGATGTGTTACCAACTTTCCGATGTGACCGCTAGCTCTGTATTACAACGACAAGTGCGAAACATTTGACGGACGTTTGCGTTACTTAGTAAACACTTGCAAACTACAAATCTCGTTCCAACAATTTCGGCTGGTAAATATTAACCACTCACTTTGGCATACGCTATTGCTGTAAGGTCCTGAATGTCACCAAATGTGAGCTAGCAACAACCACGAACAGACCTTTTGCATTCCTGTCTCGACATCCTACAAAACACACTGCTTGGAATCCATTGTTTATTTAGCAATCGCTAAGCGAAATGCACAAAGCCTTCAGCGACGCGCTTCCTAGAGCCCAAGCTACTTCGTTTGACGCCGGTATTGTCGTCAAGTTAATAACTAGGACCGCCAACTAACTCAAGCTTCAGGTTGTAGGTACAACAGAGGACATATATACTCGATTGAAATGGCCACCATCAGTGCTCAGAGCCAGCGTATATGAAAAGTCTTCTGATTTTTAAGTGAGACGCTTGACTTAACCACCTCAACTGTTGTTAACCTTACCTTTTTAGACCTGTTAAGGATATTGTTGCAAAGACATCAACGCACTTCAAAGCCTTGTTCGAACAAGCATGTCGACTCCAAAGGCCAACCGCCTTTTTCAGGATGTTAATATACACGTTAACTTTACTAGATTTGTGCAATGTAAAAAGGCTTTGGTTTGTAAACGTACATATTTTATCCGCTTTCTTCTTTTACCAATACGAAAATATCAGTAGTTGGCTACAATGTTCACATAACCAAAGATTCTGCACTATACTTTATTTAGGTACTTGACTAGGCTTTTTGCATGCGCGGCGAGCGGTTTACTTTCCCTACTCTTACTTACCCAAGCTCTACCTTTTGAGTGGCTGGCCCCAATGATGAGCGCAGACGCTGGACGCTTCTTTGTTGACATGGTATGTTATGGCGCTCGACCATGTGCGGTGTGTCCAAGGACAAATCCAACTTGCATCTCCGGGCAGCAGCTGTTGTGGCAGCCATATTATTTATTATTCGCGACCAACTAATTTCTTTGAAGTTTGGCAAACTCGTCCTAACATCTCCATACGATGTACACCGTCCCTCAATTAATTAATTTATATAGTACAAACGCCACAGCCCATCCAGATGTTTAGTCACATCTACAGTACTGGCCGTTACACATCGTTTATATTTGTCTTGCGTTTGGCATGGAAACCATCAATTAGCCATCATCTTCTGTACGTAAATATACATCCAGCCTCGGAGTCTGTTAGAGCCAAAAACGTTAACCCGTTTCTTTAACTTACAATTCCAATGCTTACTAGTTGGCTGTTATCTGTTCTTGTTTTAATCCTTTTTATACAAGGCATACAATGCGCTCGAATTCATATTTGCTGGGGAAAGCATGATATCGTAGTTCGCTCCACGCTAGCTTTATCCGCCCACATATTTTCATCTCTTTTTAAATATAGTCCACTGTGTACCATTTCGTTTCCATCAGCACTCTGCGCTCAATTACGCGCATTCTCACGGACTATTGACAACTAATTTTGCAGTACTCCTTAGAAATATAGGTTATTAAATTTTGGCTTACTACCTTCCATCTATGGTGTAAATTTGCTTGGGCCTTTAAATAGGGTTTTGACTGAGCCACGTTTAAAAGTAACTAAAATCAAGCTAGAGCATTGCAGCTATTTCCTGCATCAAGTCACATTCTTGAAGACATTGAGCTGAGGTGTGCCACCCGCCTTCTTCCAAATGACTAACTTAAAGATGGCAGACTTCGCTGCTGTTTAAACTTGTGTTTCACAGAGAGTAACTGGTGTGCAGAACATAAAGTTTCAAAAGCAGCACCAAGAGCTTTTCACCAGTAAAGACTAGGATGTCATTCTAGCTAAGCGTTCCGTGGATTTCGCCATTTGTTTAATGTACTTTACTACATAATTAACTTAATATGCAGCTTTGTCGGACCGACCCAGTTTGCAGCCTAAACCTCGAAATAACATCACTAAGGCCAAGAGCGACATTCTCACGGCCTCAAACTTAAAGGCCCCGGTATATAAAGTAAAGTAGTAGCTCCATGCTCATTGTTCTACCAGAGTGACCTTTGGCCACGATATTTCCACGGACACTGGTTATCGCACGCAAGCACCACTTTATTTGTTATAAAATGTTACGCGACACCTGTACTTGTTCAGTTGACTTAAAGAAGCTGCAGTTGGAGTAGAGAACTTGGTAAAAATACATGCATATGAAATTCCACAGTGTGTACTAACGCTCTGGAAGGGTTTGCTTTATTTTCTTTGACTGAATTTTTATGGTTGTTTTGCGTTGTTCATTATCCTATAAATGGAATAAATATCTCTTTCAACTAGATGACGTTCGTGAAGTGGGGAAGGTACTCCGCAATGTGAAATGGCATTGGCTTTAGGTATTACAGAGTCACATCCGCTACGTCGCAGTGTTGATAAACGGACCTTCATCGCTTTATGAGAAGGCCCGCCACGCGTAAACACAGGCTCTCCTGGAACACCGTGGCCAAACAGTTCGCTGGAACGGGATTGACCAGAACCACCTGCTGGCACTAAGTGGAGGTTGTTCGGCTAGCCGGTCTCATATTTCTTGCATTTTATTTCACGTTGGTTACATTTGCGCTCCGACGATTGGGCGCTACATGCTCGGCAAAATAAGTTAGTGTTCCTTAGTTGCTTTCGTTCCTACGATGATATTTTACCCCGGTGTATTTTCCTGTAAGTGCTCAAATCGCTTACATTGCTTGCAGTGCAAGTAATCAGTGCGCCGCGTTCTGTTAAAATTACAGAAATAAAGGTGAACGCAAGCCGTTTTACTAGCAAGAACACAGACATGCATTCAAACTTGTCGATCGCTTAGTACGAAATCTGTTATTCTGTAAAAAATTGGGATCGCCACTACGATGATGCATCTGTCTTAGAGAACGCAAGTGCACAACACAAAATAGACGGCGCGTTGCAACCAAAATTGGCGTAAAATGGTTTCTCGACACGCAATCGAATGCAACAACTAGTTTAACCATCCACATCATTTAAAGTGCTTGTCAGTCCTTGGAGCTTAAGAAGTAGTTCGTTGGTTTACTTGCAGTTGCCGACACGCATACGAAAGCACGACTGACTGTAGTCTACCAAAATACTGGCTGCACAATTGACTTAAAGAACTAAAGGTTTTATGCTCAAAAGAACAAGGCATCTTCTGTTTTGTCACAAACAGAAATTATACAGGTACACAGTTGATATCGGAAGTGGCCGCAGCGACTTAAGAAGAAAGAGTTGTGCCTGGGTTCTCGGGTACGGAGCGAAATAATGGATCGGTAATTGGGCAACCATTAATTGTGGCCATGCAACAGTTCCACGTTGAGGGTCAGCGTTTCATAAAATATAATCATAATGAACATTCGGCGTCGTATGAAACTTGCCGTAGCAGGATTTTCGCAGATATAAATGTGGAACTTTAGATGGCGTCCAATCGATAAGCACAACAACTCTCCAAGATTTTAGCAACCTTGTAAAAAGGAGAAAAGTCTCGTGCGCCAACGATGGGCACATAAAGGAAGAAATCGTAACGTGGTCAGCTTCCCACACAGCAACGAAATCCCAAAGCGCTGACTTCCAATTTAGCTGTCGTCGATACCGCACATCTTTTGGGCCATTGAGCAAATGATGAAGAACACTACTTTCTGGAAATCCTTCAGGATATAACGTGAAACCGGATTCATCCAAAGATTCATGAGTGTACGCATTAACTCTACTGATTAGCGCCAGAATCAGTGAGTTGACCAAAAACAAACCGGCGTGTAAAGAGCGCAAAAGACATTTTACCAGTTTCGCTGTGTTTTTAAATCTTAATGAGTAGTTATTCCATATTTTTCGATGGCTAGATAGCTATTATATACATGTAGGCATATATATATATATATATATATCGATTACTGGCAACAGGAAACAGTTAATCTTTGCTGGGGGAAGGGGTGCGTGGTCCTCATTACCGTGCTAGGCTCAAAGGGTGGTTCCACTCAGTATGGAGCGGACTACTGCCCTGCCACTGCCTTTTGTACGTCAAGTACACATGCTTCCCTACATTGGTAGACAGGAATACTGCTGTTGTACATGTTGAAGGAGTTTGGGTCGGCCTTGTTGATGAAACGTGGCAACTGTCCACATGCCTTCCGATCTTATTCCTTTGGATTTACACTGGATATGGGGTGTGTGTGTGTGTGTTGCGACCAAGCCAAACTTTGTATGCGCAGGCGTCCTGTGGCTATGTCCATGGAGACCACAGTGACAAGAAAATCCAGAACCGGATGCCACCAACCAAATGGTGTGTAACGCTTTCCTCTCCTTCTTATTATTGTTCCCTATCTAAGTTATATGACAGTGAAACACGAGTGTAAAGTACAGATGATGACAGAAGCAGCTCATGTAGATTTGGTTAGTGGTGATTTGGTTAGTACCGTAAGAGGAAAAGCTGGGTAAATCCGAACCACGTTACCAGTGTTTATCTAATGCTATCATTGGGTGGTATTTTGCTAACTAAACCAAATGCTAGATGGTCCATCAACTTGGACTATGAACACACAGAACGAGGAGGGGATAAATGTGTGGTTGTTGAAGCTCAACTAGCGTCAGATATACAAACAATATGCATACATCGGAAATAAGAGCACTGTTAGGTCATCTAATGTGAACTTACCAAAACTTTAAGGTTTTGCTGGGGTTAGAGTGCTTCACCATGAAGCTCATTGCGCCTCTAGCTTTAACGGAGAAAAGCTACGTAGAAATCAATCTGCTCCAACAAGGACTAAGAAATACCTGTTGCTTTGGGGGGTCAAAAGCACACCGTTGATTTGATCCATGGGCTCAATTGTTGTGACGTCCTCAGCTAAGCGGACATAATGCTCTTTGGTCGAAGAGCCTAACCTTTCAAACGCTTCAGGCTATGCTTCAAAGGCAACGTGAATGAGGATAAGATATGGTATGTAGTAATCCACCGGTATACCGATCCCCAAATGAAATGAAGGGATGCAGTTTGTCCGCAAAAGTAGTTGGCATCATAGATGAACAGCAGATGGCTGAGGAGGACACAAAGTGACGGAATAATGTATAATAACCTGTAAGCAGATGCACACAAAGAAGTGATAATTACTGATAGAAAAAAGGAAGTGAGGATATTGCTTAATCACGAATGCACTGTATATATATACCATCGATTGGAAATTAACAAATAATGCGGTTGAACAATATTGTCGCCACTGATGTCTGTAGCGTGCCATATTCTGCAGCGTTTCTAACCACTGGTAGTCCGGGCCACGCACAAGACTGACGGATCCTATACTTAAGGTCGCCTTCTTCATGCTTCTTCACCACGTCATTGGTTTTTTATCGCGGCACTTTTCTGATCGCTTCCGGGGAGCGCAGATAAAGCTCGACGGGGAAGGCAATAGACTAGCATGCGCAATACGTGGCCAAGGCAACGCATGTGGTGTCGGGAAATAACGTTTTGGAGGCATGGGTTGTCTGCTCCAAGCACTCGGTCTACGAATTCTGGGTTGCCTACGAGATGTAGACACCACATGCGAGCAATCCTACGTAGACGATTGTCAAAAACTGACAATCGCTTCATGTCTTCCGAGCGAGTAGGCTAGGTCTCACAACCGTAAAAAAGGATCGCATGCATGCAATGTACATCGCGCCCTTTTTTGAACCACGTCACGACGGCGCCATAGGTGTCTTACTATGATGAATACAATGTGGGTCTTTGTGATCCATTGCGAGACTTCATCTCAAACACCAATGCCAGCTGTGATGCAGCTCTCTAAGTAAACGAAGCAGGGGACTTATTCTGACGTTACCAGCAATTGTGAGGGCATCCAAGAACATCTGCCAACCGTCTAGTTAGCAACCGCGACATTGTACTTTCTCGAACAGATAAGGGCGGAGGCATTATTATCATAAACATGAGCAAAATGAATGAAATACTGGCTGATGAAATCAAGTTTTTGAAGACCACAAGTGAGGAACACAAAACAAAGCAGAATGAAACCCAACTTTACAAGTCACAAAAAGCTTAGAAACGACGGCTATTTTAACGACGTTGCATATGAAGAGTTTCGACCAATAGGCACGGCTATTTCAAGGCTCTAGAGACTACCAAAATGCAAAATCCCAATGTTCCCGTTCTTGGACATGAAAATTTCACCGTAGCACTCGATCGCTCGGTGGCTGGTTGCTATTCTTGCATCTATTCAAAAGCGGGTTGCTGTGCACAGTCAGGGAGATAGCTTTGAATTAGTCGATGCCATACGGGATGTAAGCTGCACCAGTCTAACCATGTGTTCGCTAGATGTTACTTCACTGTTCACCAACGTGCCTCTGCTTGAGACCATAAATTACATTTAAGAGTATGTTGATGCACATCACATAAATGTGGGCATGCCCACTGTGATTTTAAATGACTTATTACTCAGGTGCACATTTAATGTTCAGTTTCTCTTCAATGGCGAAATATACCGGCAGTGCAATGGAGTCGCGATGAGTTCCCCACTTGGACCCTTTCTTGCCGATGATTTCATGGGCATGGTGGAACAGGGCCTCAGTCTAAGGTGCCGGTATGTGGAGCACATCAATGTTTTATTTCAAACCATGCTAAGTAGTTATGAGCTAACAAACACCATCAACAAGTGTCTCCTAGTAATAAAGTTTACCTAGAAAATGTAGGAAAAGAACCTCTTTCATTTCCGAGACGTCGCTCTGAGAAGGCTTGATGGAGATACGCTGCAACGTCGAGTGTTTTGGAAATGCACGTGGACCGGACGATAAAAAATTTCTACAGTTTTGTGTCTAAGGTTTAAGCCGAATCTGATCCATACCCTAGTAAGCCGAGCTGAAAAAAATTGGCTCGGAATATGTTTCCGGAGAAAATGGAATGCATACGCTTGGCGCCGAGAGAGAATGGACACCCGGAAGTTTTCCTTAGAGCCAACCTGCAACAGAAGCGCACAGCCCGTAATTTTGGCAGCAGAACGTAAGCCGATCCTTCTACATCTGCCATACAAGGGCGAACATACGACGGAACTCTTATTTCGTCGACTTTCGCGTGCAATCACACGTACCTACACCGAAGCAAGGATGCAAATCCAGTTAACTAACACATTGGTGGTAAAACTGAACTGGAAGGATAAGATGCCTGTCCACACCGATTCTATGTGTATTTATTCCTTCTCCCGCTCCGGTGGCATAGAATAGATTGGCCGTAGGACAAGACGTCCATCCAATCGAGTGCACGAACACTACACGGCCTGGCTAGAAAATGGACGCAAACATAACCAGTCAGTTCCTCAATAGTCCTGAACCTCGCTGACACAGAGCATTTCACTAAAACAGCTGACTTAAAATTATAAATCTACCGACACCGAGGAACCAACCGAATTACGTGAGTAAAAGAATACTATAGCGTTTTCCACAAAGTTGCATAAAAGACCCAAAATGTTGCAAATAATGCGCAATAATTTGCTAAGTATGTCAAGAAGTTTGTAAAGATAGTCAAAAATGCTGCAAAACCCTTTTCGGTTCGTCGTCCGCTCAGAACCAATCCTCTGACCTTAATTGGGTTCTTCTTGGCCGGATACTAAGGTTTGGTGCGTTCGTCTGGGGAGGTGAGCGCGCTGCCCATTGACTAGGGGAGACTTGTGAATGAACTTTAGAGGTTTGCCCTCCGGCGGTGCAACGGGCTTGGATGCGCCCCCTCACGTCCGTAACGGTGGAGCACAATCGGTCTGAGAGCAATGAACAGCTGGAACATAGGCGCACGACCGAAACCATGTCTATGATACTAACATCGTCGGCATGCCTTCTCGCGTTCGACAGAATATATCATCAGACATTCGTGACTGAGTTTTGGGCGTCTTCGTCAACGGTGATGACTGGCAGATGGTGGCAACTGTGAACAACGTCAAATATCAAACAGCCTACTCCTGGATTCGTCGTTCTTTTAATCAGGAGCGGAGTATTATGCAGGCGCGCGGACGTTAGTGGACTCTGTCGGAGGAAGACGTAGATGACATCATGGATTGGATCGCAAGGGACTCAACTCTTACACTACGGGAAATGCGAGTACGAGCAGAAATGGACAAAACATTTCGAAGTCGACGCTTCCACGGCACCACGATGGCCGACTGCTAACTACAAATAACCTCCATCAGGTTCCCGATGGGATGACCAATGAGCGAACCTAAGCGATACGCAGGGAATTCGTTCAATAGTTTCCACTGTTGGCCGGGCTAAAGTACGGTAAAATGTTGCAACTGAAATAATGAAAACAGTTCACACGTTGCTAATGGAGACAGTGTGTCATGTGTGCGGTGTAAACAATTGTCGGTACTTGTGTAAATGCAACAACCTATTCACCGTGAACCCAAAGATCAAGGGTGCGAGCTAGGGAATACACCACATGGTTAATGTAAACGGTAGTATTAGTTCTTGCGTGTCCTTGTGCGTCGGAGATACCTTCTGAGTGGGTAGTTTATAGCGTTCCGATGTTCGCACAGGTGCAGTTTGAAAGCCGCAGTTATGCGCAATTTGCGGTTTTGCAAGCTACATTTCCTGAGCTCCGATAAATGGTAGTAATAACTTTAACATTTCGTTTGTCTGTATCTGACGTTCTGTCAGTACCAAATTTAACAACCTAGAATCATTTCGACAAGCGCAATAAAAGTTGAAGTAACGGATTCTTGCGCACCCAACTCTTGTTGAGTGATATATGTGCCGTACGTAATCCGGCTGCTTGACAGTATATCGCACTTGCACGACAGGCAATGACAATTGTCACCCATGGCACAGGATTCAAGCGATGGTCAGTTATGGTGACTTGATCATCATGTCCAGGGTAGTGGCTCAGTGTAACACTCACTCAATGGGATAGTATATTTTATCGACGGACGGAGGTTTTAGACACTGGGTGAGCACCGAAAAGATATCCAGATGATAAAACAGGACAGGAAAATAGATTGTACCAGTGACCTTAGGATTGCAAGACAGGCGTACAGATCACACGGCCACCAGGCTTCCCGGTCTCTTTTCATGTTAGCAAGTAGTTTTGCCCTGAAATATTTGCGGAACATGTTAGCAAGCATCTATAAGTTCCTGAGACTGAGTAGTGACCGAGTGTTCAGGTTGGCGATTTGATGTGCCACATTAAGAAATACCCGCTGCTAATAAGGTCTGCCGGATTTTCGACCATTAATCTTTACTTGCGTTAGATAAGCGCTTATTCAGCTCGGATGCTAGTGTCTTCAAGCAGTGCACGAAAAGTGTGCTTGTACATTTTGAACACTAGTATTTTAACAATACAACTAGCTGCATTCACGACAGCACTCAAATTAAATCTGTGATTGTTGTTAGGTAAAACGAAATATTGAATGACAATTTCAATTGCGGGCTTTACAACTGCGAATTCGGCAGCAATTGTACGTTCGCCACGGACAGCAACTGTAGTTGCTCCGCCAAGGTATCCAAGCCAAATACACCCCCATTGGGTTACGCACGCCATTGGGTTGAACGAGGGATCATCCGAAGGATCAAGACAGTATCCCAGTCGTACAAGATAGCTATTCGGGCATTCTTGGCACGTAAATTAAATCGGGCTTGCTGTGGGAATGGTTGCACTTAAATCTATAGTAAAGCTTCCGAACTGGCTGATGTGGGTTCCGAACTTGACAGACCAACTTCCAATCGGGTAATGAATAAATGCAAAAGTACACACCAATACGATTGTTGACTCCGAAATGTCCTTGTCCATTTCTGCTCGTACTCGCATTTCCCGTAGTGTAAGAGTTGAGTCCCTTGCGATCCAATCCATGATGTCATCTACGTCTTCCTCCGACAGAGTCCACTAACGTCCGCGCGCCTGCATAATACTCCGCGCCTGATTAAAAGAACGACGAATCCAGGAGTAGGCTGTTTGATATTTGACGTTGTTCACAGTTGCCACCATCTGCCAGTCATCACCGTTGACGAAGACGCCCAAAACTCGGTCACGAATGTCTGATGATATATTCTGTCGAACGCGAGAAGGCATGCCGACGATGTTAGTATCATAGACATGGTTTCGGTCGTGCGCCTATGTTTCAGCTGTTCATTGCTCTCAGACCGATTGTGCTCCACCGTTACGGACGTGAGGGGGCGCATCCAAGCCCGTTGAACTGGCGGAGGGCAAACCTCTAAAGTTCATTCACAAGTCTCCCCTAGTCAATGGGCAGCGCGCTCACCTCCCCAGACGAACGCACCAAACCTTAGTTTCCGGCCAAGAAGAACCCAATTAAGGTCAGAAGATTGGTTCTGAGCGGACGACGAACTGAAAAGGGTTTTGCAGCATTTTTGACTATCTTTACAAACTTCTTGACATACTTAGCAAATTATTGCGCATTATTTGCAACATTTTGGGTCTTTTATGCAACCTTGCGGGCAATGTTAGAGTTGCTGCTTAAGAAATTTCTAGGGCTACTACTACTACTACTACAGCCACTGGTAATACTATTACTACTGCTGTGACCCGGAGCTGTGTTTCTAGAAGAAGCTAACCCGAGGTTAAGACTACCCTGTTCCAAACGCCTGAGAACATTTGATACGCGAGGTCTATCGTCCTAACCTAACGGACCCCCACTGCCATTATTTACCTTTTTGCTAGACTTTCGACTGGTAATATCTGTCTACCTCTGTTATTTTTATTTGTTTACAACTTTAAAGTTTGCTGAAGAATTATCGAAATATGAACTTGCTTGCGCCGAATGTTTCAGTAGTACTTTGTACTCGCCTGGTGTGAAATAAAGTCCATAATTAGATGGCTCCATCGCTAAGCGCTACAAAGCACCCTGAACGGCTAGTGGATCGTCACCAAGCAGATAAAAAGCCGTTGCGGACAATCAGGGTCCGCGTCATAGAGCGTGGAAGGTCTTGGGCTGATCACCTGAGTAGTAGTAGTCATCACTATCATCATCATTATACACGTCAGCTGGAAATGGGAAACAACTTAGCTACTGTGCAGCAATATATGAAGTAAAATAAATACTACAGTTGCATGCCAGCTGAGCTACCCGCAACGGATAAGCATCGTTCCGGTAAGCTTCCAGCCAGCTGCTAGGCAACAAGAACACCTTATTATGCTTTACGCTACGAAATAAGATCGTAGGTGGAGGGAAGGCTAAAAGGGATGGGGAGGGACAAAGAAACTCACAGCACGAACGCCACTGAGGTCGGCTCCTTGCCATGTCAGCAAGTGTATCCAGCCAAACGTATTTACCGCCATTTGGACCCCAACTAGGGAGCCGTGAATCACTAACCGAGGCCAGCACCAAAGTGAGGGCCTTCATTCCTCTGGATCAAGTCATCGCTTGGCCACCCCTCCTCTTCTTCCATCCACATCCCCGGTGAACAAACAACGCACGTCGTGGAAATCGTTGGGCTAGCATGTGTAGCACGTGGCCCAGCTATCGGAGCCTGGTACGTAAAATGATAGCGCTGAGCGGTTAAGTTCCGTTTTCTCTGCCCTGAACAAAGCATCGAACACACTCGTTACTCACGCGGTGTTCTCACCAGATGTGAGCCAAACTGCGAAGGCACCGATGGTCGAACGTAAGTAGCCTCTTCTTGTCCGCCGATCTTAGGGGCCAGGTTTCGAAACGGTACAGTAAGGTCGAACGCACCGCTGCATTGTACACTCTGGCGTTCAGGGCGAGAGTAATGTCGCGCCGCCGCCATAGGTGACGAAGACTGGCAAAAGCTACACGGTTCTTGATCTTGTCTTCCATCCCAAGGGCGCTGATACAACTTTCCAGGTATTTGAATTTCCGAACGACTTCTAGATGATCCCCACCAAGGGTCAGAGCAGGAGGCGATTCCTGTCAAGCTTGGACGAACGCTTTGCATTTCAATGGTGCAAAATAAAGCCCGAAGTGGTTGACAGCCAGTGTTGGTATGTCTAGCCCGCCTTGGCACGTCTGGGAGCTGTCACAGATGAGGGCAATGTCGTCTGCATACACCAAATCAAGAAGTCGTTCTCCTGGGATTAGCTCCATACCTTCCAAATGATGTCCAGTAAATGCAATCACCATGACTTCGTCAACAGCGAAGTTGAAGAGGAAAGGTGACAACGGGCATCCTTGTCTCACACCGCTATAGATATTGAAGGGTGGCGACAGCTTGTCGTAAGCCCTCACTCTGCCCGTGCTACGCGCGTATAATGCTTGGGTAATATTTACATATTTCTCGAGCACACCTTTCCTGAATAGACGACTCCAAAGGGCACATCGATCAATCGAAGCAGTCTATCAACTAGATTTAGAGCCAACATGAAATCATGGAGATCAGCGAAAAAGCGGCCGTCATCGCGTAATAATTATCGTGGCATGATAGTAGAATGTGAACAACACACTTCAGTTAATATGCCGCAGGAAGAATGGAACATTTTCACTAAAAGTAGAACAAAACATTGTTACTTTGTATTTCATACCCCGACTTTTCACTATTTTGTCATTTTCAATGCTTGTAATATGAAACATGCGAATTAATACAATACCGTATCCAATTCTCCCACGGATTCCTGTAACGAGTCATGTCTTCAAGAGTGCTAAGCCATTGGCAATTCTCATCTTTTGGTCCCCATCCTGGAAGGCGTAAGGATTCAACAGCGTGTAGACACGATGTCAGCGATTTCAAGTGCTACAGCCAAGTGAAAGGCTGACCACCACGCGCTCGCGTTATTGTAAAGCTGCCATCCTACTGCTGCTATTCTACGCCTGCGAGACTACAACTGCTTGATTGCGCAGTCACGCGCTTAGTAAACCAACTGTCTGCAAGCAAAATTGCCCAAGCCCGAAGTAAACATATACCTTTATGCATTTTCCTAATGCCAGATAGAAAGCGAAGATGTCCCGATATAGCAGGCATGTATACAGTGAGAATATTAAGGTTTATAGATTACTGAAATCAAACTAACGAATTCCGAAAATTATTAACAATGCTCTTAACAGTGCACATGCATTTAAATCACTGCGGAACAGAAGGGGATGGCAAATCATCATATACTACACAGAGTATTGTAAATACTAACTTGCATTCCGCAGTATGTTGGCATATTTATTCCGAAGGGAGTTTTCACGTCGATTATTTTCAGCAGGTTGTTCCCTGCCACCGTAACTGACAAAAGACCTTGAGAGATGGATGATATATTGGCAACTTCGTAGTAAAGAGAAGCACGCGTCCATGATATACATATGTTTACATATACTGAACTGCAATATTTGTTGGAAATAGGGATAATTTGTACATAAGTTATAAATGAACTTTTTGGCTGTTTTGGACGTAAACCGTCCATAATCCTTGTAAACCTGAGGAAACTGATTAGCTGAACTAACCAGGACTGCAGTTTTAGCACAACAAAGCTGCGCAAAGCAGGAAGCGATCCTAAACTAATATTGGTGAAATGCTTAGTTACGGAATTTAACTGAAGTATACTGTATCAAACAACATAATTCCAAATGTCAGGGAACTGACGCGTCGTTCGACGACGATCCGCAGCTTTTAATTAATAAACTGCTATACACAAATTTATTTAGCTAAAGTGGCAATGGACCTGAGCTTGTGGGAATGGGTATCATGATTTCGTGGTAAAATGCATCAAAGTAGATACATCGCGCTAGTCAAAACACCTTTCTATTTAAGCATAACACTCGTAACTTAGACACTGTAATAATATTTGACGCGTAATACCTAAACATAATTAATTAAAAGATGTGATTATGACTGAGTACATGAGTCATTTTCAAAACCGTTTATAAACTCACTGCAGCTGACATCAAGCAACCAGTTCATTATGAAAAAAATGAAGGCTTTTAACATCTGTGTGTTGGTACTGCGATGGTGCTACGCCTCTCTATACCGACAGTCGTATTTATTAGCCTTATTTTTATATATAGCAGGCTGTATGAAATATGGCAATTGCTAACCAATCATAGAAGAGACCTCACGGATAGTAAGTGATTGGAACCAACTGTGTTCATCTGAGGTGTCTGTACGTAACCAAGCATTTACCTTACCATATTATGTGGAATTATTAGTAAAAAGTACTTGCAGCATCCGATATTTACCTAGGTCAATTACAAATTCCTGTGGACCATTATAGTACAGGTATAAGTCTTTTAATACCTAATTTACCGTAACGTAACACTTCAGCGCAATTGCGTTGATTCACAAAATGAAGTAAAATTGCCAGACACCAGCAATGCAAGTTTATAGATAATGCATGTTAACCGATCATTTATCATTAACCTGCTAGTTTCTTTGTTGCTACAACCCAGACATTAAGTAGCATGGCAGAGATTTTTCACCCGCATCCCTAGCAAGATAATGCATTTTTAAGCGGCACACAGGATTTAACTAACAAAATAAATAAACCATTTATTCTCGACGGTGCGAGACACGTCTTTAAATGTAAGAACTTGGTAATACAAACAGGGAACAACAGTACTGGTACAGAAGTTTTACTATTTAACCAGCACATATTGGATTTGTGTGCATATATGTGTAGTATTTATGTGGATGAATGTGTAAGTAATCGAGTTATGTGAATTTGTTAGTAATACTCTGAACTTGTGAGTAGATTGATTGAATGTGCTAATATAGGAAGGGACAAGCTAAAAGCTTGTAAGTGGTTAACTTTTGCGATACTTCCTCCGGTTCATCCGGTTTGGCAAGACAACTGCGCGTCATATCCGCCAAGCCAGTGTTGATAAGCAGATATTTGTAGCTTTTTCTGGGATGATCGCTAGTCTGTCGGAAACCTAACACGTCCTAGTACATTGCCAATAACTTGTTGCGTGAACCGGGATCAACCCAAACCACCAGATGGCATCTCGTGGTGGTTGTTCAGCTAAACAGTTACGAAAGGCTTTACGCAACACAAGTTGTCATTCAGCTGAGTGCTAAGACACACAGAAGCCTGGTGGGGCATATGTTTTGTCAAACGCTGTTAGGAGGCGCTATTCCAAAGTGCACACGTGTAAACACGTTAGTTTTCTAGACATAAAGTTGTGTGTCATAAAGTAGACTTAGACTAGCCACGTCCCAAAATTTGCCCACCGTTTTTGTAATACCGAATGGCAGTGCGTCAAGGATAGCAGGACAGGTAGATAAGGCCATATGGGAAAGTACTATTATGGCGCTTAAGGAAATGAACTAAAGTCGACAGACACGAACACAGAGCTCTTCATCCAAAAGAAGTGATCGCGCTCGGAACCCATCGTCGAGTGGCTGGAAATTTCACGGTGGTTTAGAGCTTTGTTGCTTATAAGCACCTTAGGCCAGTTTTACAAAAATAAAGATTGATCCGCTTGAACTTTTCAAATACACGCCGCTATTTTGTAACCGTATTCATTGGATTTTACTAGTATTAACATAGCTAACGAAATTACTAGAAATGAAAATATACAAATGTGGTTTGTTCAAACTTCTTATTAAATTGCAGCGAGAGTAGATTGATAGTGCGCATGGGAAAACCATGTAATGGTGGGTCTATTGTAATAAGCTTTTTAATCCTCGTTGAATAGTTAAAGGTGCGTTAATTTGCTCCCCACAAAGAAGCAAATCCAAGGAAAATGGGAGAGGTAAACAGTAGAATATAATAGGCGCTCTGACAGCCACAAGATTTATACGACCCCTGTAAAACACAAAATTTATTTTTAGTTATGCTCCCAATCGTTGAAGTCAACAGCGCGATTTATATTAAGAACATAAAATTGCAGGTTATCGCTGAAAAACAAGCCCACAACCGTCGCCAACCCCCCAAAATAAAATGCCTTTCTATTCAAAGAAACCAATATATGCACGAGCAAACATTCGTTTCTTGCTTGTTGCAGTATGCTGTACCATTTTAGGTGCAGCCCCCTGTTATGTCGACTAAAACATATTTAAACGATACTTAACATTTAATACGTCAGACGGCGTAATCCCAACTGTATGCATTTCGGATTCCAAAATCTTTTCTTACTTGACAATATCATTTGTTTGCTGACTGCATTAAAATCCGGCATGCGATTTGCTTTGATTTAACTGAGTTAGATAGCTGTTATATTGGGTAGCGCAACACTATCTAAAGATTCCTGTAAACATGGAGCGGTTCCGCTGCTGACCAGGAAGCGCAAAAATTCGGAGAATAACAAGGCGATACTTTGCCGTAAACGCAAGCTCTTGATAATTTAATCTACAGCTATTTAAGCAGAAATTCACAAACCAAACGTTAAGTAAATAACAAGCTGCTAGACCAGCAAATTTAGCCACAAATATTTCTGTATCCGGAGCACCTTAACTCTACTAGGGTTGCCTATAAACGAGTAGCTGTTTTCGCATGATATTATGCCCATACCTTTGCTAAGTGGTACAATATAGCTAACGGTATATCTGGAGTCAACAGCAACATGTTTATGAGTAATGGTGCATGGCATTTACTACCGCTACCCCGTAGTTAACACGCATATTTTATGAGTTGGCAGCAACGGCGATCGGTGTCTTAGTACCTCTAAAACACTGTAATTAGTCATCCGTTGATATTAAACTATGAAGCAAATTCCAATTAACCAAGCGTTATAAAATCCAATATACGCTAATGTTACCCCAGTAGCGGCGACAATGGGGCGCATAATAGATTTTATTGCATCCTGCATTTATCCCGAATGAAAAACAAACTGATTAAAGCAGTGTGATTAGAAAAAAGAAAGGTAAGAAAATCCTGAAATTAGTACACCAAGAAACTAGCTTACATTAACATAAAGCCCCTATTATTCTGTACTACGGTGTTAACATATCACAAAGACAGATCCACCACAGACATCCTACTAAGTGTATGAATGCTCCCGTAACAGCATGTTATAACTCATGTTTGCTACCCGTTTCTATTTCGTACGTAGCATTGATAAAGGCACTCCTGTAAATGTTAGTCCTATAGTTGGTTAGAACACCAGTTTTACATCGTCTGGAAGGTACGTGAGTACCGCGATCTCACATTCAAACTAACAGCACACTGAAAATAGATAACTTTGTGACGCTGTTCATTTACGCCTGTTTGGTGGGTACTCAGGAACAATAAACTTTAGTTGGCTCGAGGTAAATCTAAGTCAAACTTCCGTGGTTTCTACTTCCTACCTACCCATCAAATGAAAAGCGGACACGCTAGCACAGCCTCTTTGAATGGATCAAGATAGCAAGCAACTGCTCAACAAACGGTCTGCAAGCTTGTGAAGTTACTGAGACGTTTCATCTAACGACAAGCAGGACAAGTACCATTAGGCTAGAAAAGTTTTGAAACAACCCACGCTTAATTCTTCTTTGTTGTACTTAAAATATACATAGCTGGTGACCTTTTGGATAACCAGAAATATTATTTTGTACATTGTAAAAGGTGCTGTGGTTCAACATCCCTAGCTTTAATTTTAAATCGCGTCGCGGGTACTCATGCTTCTACGGGCTAAAACGATGCTTGTGTGATCAGCGAGTGCTAGTCAGAGGCATAGGTGCGTTGAAAATGCTTCGAAAGCACAATAGGTTTTTGTTTAGCTACTTTACTGTGGTGGAAGCTTTTTGACCACAAAGAAAGTAAACCCTCAAATATGACTTGGCCTGATTTAATGCACCCGGTGTCTCCAAGTGACTTGGCGGCGGAACTAGTTGGATCGCTTACAACGGTGTTCCAGTAGTTGCTCATCTGCTGTGCATTACCTTTCGAATGGAGCGAAGCTGCCGTTAGTCCAATTTTCAAGAAAGGCGATAAGCGTGTCTGCAAATTCCACGCCAGTCAGTATGGGTAGTGTCGTAAACAAATAGGTTGAAAAGCTTTTAAACAATCAATTAAATGGATTTAATCGATTAAGTAGTGCGCAGCAAAGATAATGGAAGGAGTTTCGTTTTCTAATATATTTATGGGCTGTTAGTGAAATTAGGGCGCATGCAGTAGGCATTATTTTGTCTTGGGTTGTCAGTTGAATTTATCGCGGTACCTCAATTGCAGACTTAACAATAGCTTTTTATTTTAGTTTTATCTAAACCGATTCTTTTATGGGTGCCGCGTACTTGCAAAGAAGACAGCAACTGACACGCGGAGCTTACAGCTTATTATTTTGTTAGTAGCTCGTTTAAGTCCTACATCGCTTGCTCCTTAGATCGTACTAGTTTTGCTCTAGTCAAACGGTCGCTCTGTGCACTTTGCGATGTCCTCGCTGTTATTAGCTGATGAGCTTAAGCTGTAGAATATTTTGATTGCACCCAAACCTTGAGGCTAGTTAGCATGCGTTGGATAGTCTCAGTGTCTTGTCTACTTTTATAGTCACTCACAATAGTCAGCTTAGGTGCTTAGTACTTTGTATGGGAGCAGGTTCATGCGTTATAAAATGGACCATACGCCAATTTCAATTTCAGAGCAGCTATAATAGGAGCGCCTTCCAGGACTCATAGCTTGATGAAGTTATCCTCAATATACCAGCCAGATAAATAAGACAGTCCAAAATAGGTGTATAAAAGTGATCATATTCTAAACTTTTTACATCACAAAAACAAATTTATTAACAAAAAGCTTCCAGTATTTTGTAGTACATGTGACAGATATTACAAACGCATTTCCATTACAGAGGAGTAGTAGGGGGAGTTGAATGTTTGTTGCCGTCCCCCGTAGCTCAGTGGTCTCAACCACGGACTAACAACAGTCGAGTTGCGGGTTCGAGCCCTACCAAGGGTCCGATGAAATGCGCACTGCTGATGATTCCCGAAAGGATGAAACGCGCGTACAGTGCTTTTCCGGGCGCGTGGAAGCTGTTGGAGTGAGTCTA